TCATTTAATCAAAATTAAAAATAAAAAAATGAAAGATTTATGTAGGACTTTTTTTTTCAAAAATATTAACGAGAATAACTAATGTTTAAGTTACAATCAAAATCAAAAACTCGGCTTAACTCATATGCGAAAACAATTTAGAATATTTACAAAATAAATAATTTTGAAATTTACAAAAAATATTCCAATAATTTTGAATATTTAAAAAAAAAAATCTAACATTTTTAGTCTCAATATGTATATGAACAAAACTTTATTAAGTAAAATAAAGAAACTATACATTTATTTTGTATGTACATACCTCAACAATCTTTCTCAACATTCATCGTGATTTGTTAAAGATTTTATTGCATAAAAACTCACTTTAAAATTAAATCCTTTATGTAATGGTATAATCTTTGCTATTTTTAGTTGATTGGGAAAACGCCTTGTTTGATTGAACGAGTAACTATCTTTAAAAGTATGTGTTTTATGACATCAAATGAGTTTATAACAATGTTTCCATTGATATCATCCGGACCAATCGTTTTGTTTAGTTTTAGCATTTTAAAGGCACATTCAAATTCTTCATTAGTTAGTTTAAAAAAATTAAGTTGAAAAGTAGGGGAAAGATGTGATCTTTTTTTAAATTATTGGCTGGAGGAATTTTTTTGGCTAGATCTGGACCAACTGACACAAAACATTTATTTAACTCAGCAGCTACTTGATTAAATAAAAACTCATGATTTATTTTAATGGTTTTGCGTAGAGACATTTTATGTTGCAGGTGATTTCTCTAATGATTTTCCAAGTGGGTTTAGAATTAAGTTTTTATTTTTCGAGTAAGTTGTTGAAATAATTTTTGAGATTTTTTCTTTTATTTCTTTTTTCATTGATATTAATTTTTAGGAAATATGAGTCAAAAAAGCTTTTAAAAAAAGTGTTGTAAACTGAATTTACATCGTTTGAAGTATCAATATGATTCCAATTTTTGCTTCTTCTAATGAAGAAGCGATAATTGCTACTTAAACGATGTTAAATTTACTTCATTGAAAATATGTTAATAAAAGACTTGATTTGAATTTAGTAATGTTTTTTTGTTAATATTAATAATAAATGATCATAGATTTCGTTTTTAATTATGCCCTATTGAAGAGTTTCCTTAAATGAATCATTAGTTTTTATATTATCAGTAAGAGAGGCTGTTAATTGAGTGATTCTAGTTCGTTTATTAATTAAGGGAAAGAACCCTATTTCAAATAATGCATTATAAAACATTTAATGTTACATTTAACGGGATATTCAAAGCAATCGAGATTAGGTCCCCTAATACGTAGATAAGTTTATTTTCTTGGTTACTTTTTTTTATTATATCGCTTAGTAAAAAGTTGCTAAAATTTTTAACTACGCCAGACGCTGGGCAATAGTAACAGCTAAGTAAAATATATATATATATTTTTTTAGTTGGAATTTCAATTGTTAAAACCTCTATATTGCTATCTGAGATACTCATGTCACGCCTTATAAAATATTGCTAATTTTCTTTTATATAAATTAGCAATCCTCCACCACGCTTATTAGTTTTCTACGCTAAAGGTATCAAATTAAAACCTACTATATTGATATTAGAACAAACGTCATCAGAGTTACACCAAGTTTCATAATGAAATTAAAAAATAGATTTTTAAAATATTACCAGTCTATTTTTTGAGTTTATTTATTATTATTATTTATTTTCAAGTTTTACCTTATGAACTTCATATTTTTTTAACTAGATGTTGTTTAAATATAATAGCAGGATTTCTTTATTATCTTTTTAAACAACATTTCATTAAAAATATAGTAAAGAAATCCGTTTGTTTAACTACCAGTTTTGATTTATATTTCAAGTCGGTATACTTCAAATATTTCAAATCTAACTTAAATTTTTTTTGCATTAACCTTTTCGTTAACAACATATAGGAACGTTTAAATTAACTTTAACTTAAAAACATGTTGTTTAACATTATGTTATTTAACTTAAATTTAACATAAGCCGCATTGATAATGACTAAACGCGATGTTTAAAAGGATTAATTTTAAATGGTTTATTTATCTGATTTTTGCATTTTCATAAAATTGTTTTTAATAAAAATCTTTTGTTTGCGACATTCAAAATGTTTCGCAAAACATTTAAGTTTTTTTTTTTTTTTTAACAATCTCTGACTAGTAAATGCTCTTCAAATTATTGAGCTTCTTGTATTTAGATCATGCCAAAAATACTCTTCATTCAGTTTATATTTGCAGTGTATATCCAGCCTTTTAGTAAGTACTGTTATTTTCATATATGTGATTGGAAGAGCTTGTGTAAGAGTACTTTATATATTATTTAAAACATATAAAAATACGGTTTCCTCCTGATGATGATTTTTTTTAGAAATTTTAGCTGGATTATAGATACTATCATCATTAGCTCGTTTACACTGGTTTTTAAATGTTACAGTTTAAATAAAATTGTTACTATTGATTTTGGCGGCTGAGAATTATCTTTTTATTTGAATTTAAAAAAACAAAAAAACTCCGAAACTTAGTTTCGATCTACTCTCGGGTGTTAAACACAAAGAAAGGAGGAGGGGGGGGGGGGGGAAAGGGGGGGGGAAATTTTAGTTTAAATCTGATAAAAAAGTTTTTAGCAGAACACAAATAAAACACTTTTGTTATAGTGTGGCTTGCGGTTTTTTTTTCGTTTTGAGATATTGTTTTTTTTGTTAGAAACTAGTAAAAATTAAAAAAACGGTGAGGGAAGGACGGGGGCTTAATATTCTTTGGGAGGGTGGGAAAAAATTCCCGAAAACAATTATTCCCTACCGTGTATCAAGCACCTAAGAGTATTGGCTATTTTTTTTTTTTTTTTTATTTTATTTCACCTCCTCAAGGCCGAGAAGGCCACTACAGACGAGGAGGCTACTTATTTAAGGTTATAACCCTCTCTCAACTCTATAACTCCGAAACACGAACCTTGACGAGCAAGGCCGCTGCGCGGAGAAACGAGTTATTATTAAGAGTATCGTCGTTCCTAGCGTTGTGCTTCTGTAGCACGTATTTTTTTTTGTATGTTTAAAGCCTGCCAAACTTTATTTTTACAATTTATTTTGTATACAAAACAATTCATGTATTGTTCTTGTTTCTTCCTTATTTATATCTTTTTTAAAAACTGTTTTGTGAAGAGCTAACACTGATTGATAATGCTTTTTTTGTAAATGCATTTTTGATGTTAAAGTATCCGGGTATTTACCTGCATTTTTTATTTACCTGAATACATTTTAAAATAGTTGCATTTTTATATGTAGGCTTCAAGCTGGCTGTTATTAGTAGTTTATATATACTTAATTTTTACTCAATTTTTTCTTCAATTTTTGTTCAATTAATTTTACAATCTTATTGATCAATATATACTTTTTTTAAATAGCTATTACACTTCATGGAAATTTACAAATAGTACGTATACTAATCTTAAGTAAAAACTGGAACTAATAACAATAACAATAATAGTAATAAAAACACTATTATTATAATGGAAACCAAAAGCAACCAAAACAAAATTAGTATGAAGAGTGGAAGCAGTGTTGGATTATAACTGAGGAAATTGAGGCATGTGTCTGAGGCCCTCGAATCCTCTGGCCCCCGAATATTGATAACACACTTTTTGAAAAAGTACATTTTTTTACTTAAAGTATTTAAAGTCATGTGTCATTGGAAAGAAAAGCAAGAAAGCAATAATAATTTCCAGAATATTAAATGTTCCTTTTAATAAACAAAAACAAATACAAAACTCCGTAACAACCATGAGTTTACTCAGTTAAGAGTTGATACTGTTAGAAATGTAGAGTGCTCATCTAAAATGGTAATTTTTTTCTATTTTACAACGTAAAAGTCCAGAACCAGAAAGTTCAAAATTAAGAATCAGTTGATCTTGAACCGGCTACAGCTGAAGCAGAAGTTGACACTGAAAATGTACAAGTACAAGCTGTGGCGTACCTGCCAATTGAATATTGAAAATTTGGTGAAAGTGTTTTTCATATTTTTCAAATATAAAAAACACTTTCACCAAACATGCAATCTCATTTTATCAGCAACGATGGTATTGAATGCTAATATTAATATAAATGTTTTTTGCAATCAAATATCTCGGACAATAAAATAAATTGAAACCGGTAATGTACTCCTTCATTATTCACTTGACATCATTAATTAACTGGTGAGAATTCTAAACATAACCTGGCGTTGCGTTCAGAATTCTCACCAGTTACTCACCATCAAATGGACATGTTTATTAAGATAGAGTTTTTATTATTGGATATAATTCTCCTTTTACACAAGGGTTTAATAGTTTGAAAAGCGGACGTGATGTTGAGCTATTTGAAAATAGTGAAGGTCATATATTTGTTTGTTTACTATATGCACAGAGACCCAGTGTAATTGATTGTATTTATAAGAAACAGAAGAAAGCTTAAATGAATCTAAATATTGGTTATCTGCTCATCGCTAGATGATGGATGTGGTAAAGTTTTTAGCTGAGCGTAGCTTACCATTTCGTGGACATAAAAAGAAAATTGATTTAATACATAATTGTAATTTTATGTGCATTCTTGAGTTATTAATATTTTATGATTCTTTTTTGGATGCACATGTTGATAAATATTATACTTATCTTCTACTACTACTGTCTATGATGAACTCATTAATTTAATGGATCAAAAAGTGTTTTTATTTATTGTTGATAAAATACAAAAGGAAAGTACTATAGTGTGTCAAAATAGTACTGACATTGACAACTATTGTAGTCAGACGTATGATAGTGCATCACATATATCTGGATGTAACAATTTTGTTAAGACCATATAACCATACTTTATCTGTTTGCGAGTATGCTATTTACACACCTTGCTCATTCATTAAATAAATTTTTTTTTAGTTTGTAAAAATGTAATTTATTAGTTTGTAAAAATGCGGTTAGTTGTTGTAGCGCAGCAGTTGGTATTTTTGATATTGTGCAACGGATCTACACATTTTTAAGTGCCTTCAATCATCGATGGACAATTCTGACAAAAGCGCTAGCCAAAGACAAGACACCAGCGCCTAAAAAACTATCAGAAACACGTTGGTCAGTACATGCTGGTGCAACAAGTGCTGTGCGGAAGGGTTACAAGAATATTCAATCTGCTTAAGAAATCATTGCAATTGATGATAGTACAAAAGGTGAAACTCGACAAGATGCGCTTAGACTAGCAAAACGTTGATGAATTGGAAACTGTTACTTTGACAGTCTTTTGGGACAAGATACTGCAAAGATTCAATAAAACAATTCTAGTTTTACAAGGTGCCACTTTAGATTTGAATAAAGCTGGTTTGTTGCCTTCGTTGTCTAAATATGTTTAATCGTTGTCTATATATGTTTTATCGTTGAGACGTTCAACAAAATTGAATAAATTAGAGAAATATGGAAAAGAGTTGTCCAAATGTGAAGTATATAAAAAGATTCAAAAAAAGAAAGTAAAAGTTTAATGAAGGTATTTCTGAACAAGTTTTTCTGGATATTTGGATAAAATAACTGTATTTATTTAGAAAGAAGTGAAAATGAATTTTAGGTTATAGGGAAAGTTATTCTAAGGTTTTATACTTTGATGTTTAATTGATTTATGTCCATAAGTAACAAAACAGTGTTTTAAGATAGTTAGGTTCAGATTTATTATTGTATCGAAGCAAGTAACGGTTATTTTCATATTTAGGGATGAAGTTGTTGGATGAAAGAATTATTTTTGTTGTTGTTGCTATTTCGAGACAAACTGGTGACTAAGGAGTTGAACAAGGTCCCAAAGTTTAGTAATTTTAGAAGTAAGATAAAGCACATTAGGATTGATTGTTTGTAATTTGTTAAAAAAGATCTTTTTAGTTTTAGGATTAAATTAAACAGCGCTCTCAATCCTGTTCTTTAGAATATTTTTCTGATTTTAGGTAAAAGACCTCTGAGCTATGGTAAAAACTACATGAATATTGTTACACTTGGACGTAATTTATATTGTCTTATATTGTCTTTTTAAATAAAATTAACGTACAAGGTTCCTTATTTCTTTGCTGATATTAACAAATCAACTAAAAAACTTGTTTTGTTTGTAAATAAGACTTTACTACAGATTGAGTAAACCCTATGAACAGGACCGTCCCGATCAGGTCTTTCATGGTTTCATGGGGAAAAGGGTATATTTTTTGTTGCCAGCTAGAGACACCAAAAAAAAAAAAAAAAGGTTCTCAATATTTGCAATTTGCCAACTATAAACTTGCTCAATGTGCCAACTCAAATTCTTATATAACAGCTTTGGGGAAGGGGGGTTGGGAGATACCTACACCCCCCCTCCTTCGGGACGGACCTTCCTATGGATTAATTCTTTAAATATAGCGTTGAACAATCCTTTATATATAGTTGCTGATTAATTTTTTAAATATAGCTATTGATTGATCTTTTAAATTTAATTAACCAGCGCATTACTTACCTTTAAAATATATGTGCTCATATTATTTTTTTGTATATCTTGATGATATTTATGTAAGTTTGCCTAGCCTTAAGCAAAACATTTCCGAAACATTTTAAATTAAGAACATCTTTTGTACAATACATTGTGAAGTTAAAAATTATTTAAATATATTTAATTTTCATGATAATAAATAATATACATGTATGATACGTGTATAGGTTTATAAGGTCTAATAGAGCCTAAATGTTGTTGGTATACAAAAAAAAAAAAAATAATAATAATAAAAAAAAAGATAAAATAAATGATTCAGAAAGTTAAAAGAATAAATTTTGCAAAACACATATGGTACAAAATTTGTAAAACTATGAGTGAAAAACAATTCATAATTTAAGTAGAATGGATAATCCCACTGATTTTATAAAAAAATGCGAGTCTTAAACTTGGAAAACTTAACTTATATCAGATTCTTATTTTTATGTTCAAATATAAAAATAACATGCAATATATATATATATATATATATATATATATATATATATATATATATATATATATATATATATATATATATATATATATATATATATATATATATATATATATATATATATATATATATATATATATATATATATATATAGTATATATATATATATATGTATATATATATATATATATATATATATATATATATATATATATATATATATATATATATATATATATATATATATATATATATATATATATATATATATATATATATATATATATATATATATATATATATATGATATATATATATATATATATATATATATATATATACATATATATATATATATACATATATATATATATATATATATATATATATATATATATTGCATGTTATTTTTATATTTGAACATAAAAATAAGAATCTGATATAAGTTAAGTTTTCCAAGTTTAAGACTCGCATTTTTTTATAAAATCAGTGGGATTATCCATTCTACTTAAATTATGAATTGTTTTTCACTCATAGTTTTACAAATTTTGTTATTTAAATAGCTTTTATGTACAGGTACTAGCACCATAAAGTGTATGCTGCAAAAATTGGTAACTAAATTTAGGTCTCTTTTATTTTCAAGTTAATTGGAACAAGGTCTTTTTAATATGCAAGGGCATAAGATAATATAAATTAAAACAGTTTGACTATTCTATGTCAAAAATGCACTGACAACTATTTGTATTGTGTATTTATTAATTTTTTTAATTGGAACTCATAATTTTACTTATTTCAATTTGACATCATTTTTTGACATCTTTTTTTGACATCATTGTCAAATTTGATTTTATGAGTTATTGAAAAAATGCTATTTTTTTTTTCAAATTATGAAGTAAAACACAATTTTGAGAGAAATGATATCCCTTATTGATTCAGAGGATTCAATCCTTTTAGGTTTAATACATTTAATTTTAAAGGGTTGCTTAGTACAAAACTGACTTTAAAACAGTATTGCAAATAGGGTACTGTTTGCATCTAAATGCAAAACACCTTCCTTTACATTGACATCGGTCTTAACATTTGAAAAATTGTTCACATATTGTTGCACAATTTTTTTCATCTTTTTTTTTATTCTCATTTTGTTTTTCAATTACCCTTCTAAGACCTTTTCCCCCTCCATTGATCCATGTTGTAGAGTTACTTCTACATACGAGGTGTCTTTAAGAGCTATTTTTAAATACGATAGCAAGTTCAATCGGAAATGGAGAATCAGTAAGATCGTGGGTAACTCAATATGCATTTTCAATTTTTTTTTTAATAACCCCGAGAACTTGTTCTCGACACTTTGAGGGAAGAAAACAAAAAAATTTTTTTGTAAAAAGCATCGTTTTGGAGATAAAGACTAATTATTTCCATATATCTTGAACCTTATGCCAAGCCTCAAAAAATGTCTGTTAGTACTAACACAGTTTTTTGCACATTTTTCTCAGTTAACTTGTTATCAAAGATTTTGTAAAAATCTAGCTGAGAATTGTGATATTACACTACATCTTATATAATCGATATAAGTATTTTTGATAACATTTTCCTGATAATATTAAATTATCTGTGGACAGTGATATCTTTTTTGTGATACCTTCTCCTCATCCAATCAAAATCATCCATTGTCAAAATCAAGTAGCTTTTATTATTTAAATAATTAACTAATAATAGCACTTCTAAAATGCAACTTCTAGTTCAAACATCAACATTATGTCCTCTTTGATAAATGAATTGTAGCCTTGACTGTTGTCCTTTTTGCAATAATCTACATGTGCTATAATGTTTCCATTGAATTCTATTTTATGTCTGTAAGAAGCAGCTTGATATTTTATTAAGGCCCAATACTCAATTAATGTTTTCCTTTTTTTTTTTTAAATCATAATTATGATTGCAACGTAAGATTAAACCATTGTCATTAGATTGGTCATAAGAACCATGGTCATAAGATTGAACCAATTGATTGGTTGATTAAACCGTAAAAAAAAGAATAAAAAGCATTTTAAATCATTATATTTTTTATTTTCCTTAAAAAATTCTGACTTTTATTTTAAGGTTCAGCAACTTACAATTTAAAGTAATATTAAAAATTTGAGAGTCATTTATTCAATCAAATTTAACGATTTTAACAAAAATTTAAGAAATTAACTCACAAAACTTTAACAAGAATAAAGTTGCCACAAAATTGCCATTAGAAAAATTCTACATTTTAAGTTTCACATGAAAAATTTAGACTTTATTTTACGGAGCTGCAGTGATTCATTAAAGGTTACTAATCCAAAAGCTACTCAAAACTATTAAAAGCGGGAATTTAAATAGCAACAAGCGATGTTCGAACTCTGAAGATTATCTTTCAAAAAACCACTTACATGGTATAATTACCTGCAGTAAAAAAATAGAATCTAATTATTTAAAAAATTATTGCCTTTTTTTTTAAAGAACGCATATACAACGAATATATATATAAGGGTTGATAATAACTTTTTATAATAACAATATTAATAATAATATAATTAATAGTAATAACAATAATAACAATAATTATATATATATATATATATATATATATATATATATATATATATATATATATATATATATATATATATATATATATATATACATATGTATATATATACAAATATGTTTAAATTTGTTATATCTCTGTTCTTTTAAGAACATTGAGCACCCTATTTTGTAGAATATATTTAATATTATTTGTATTTATGTATGTATGTATATATATATATATATATATATATATATATATATATATATATATATATATATATATATATATATATATATATATATATATATATATATAATTATTGTCAAAATTATTATTATTGTTGCTATTATTGTTATTGTTATTTATATTTGTCATTATTCCCAATATTTACTTTTAGGTTTCCAAGTATTAATACAAGAAGTATATTTGAATATAAGTACTCCTGATATAAATTTTCTCTCCTTGTACAATCAATCAAAGTATCCGCAAAAACCAGATAGATATGGTTTCATAACATCTTTAAATTTGTATCAAAATATTTCTCAATCTTTTTGTGAGAGGATACGTGGATGGATTCAGGTTGGATATTCTGCTAATTACTCATTTTACATCTCATGCAGTAGTGACTGTTCCTTATACCTCAGTACTGACAATGATCCAACAAATAAAGTAAACATAGCTTTTCAAACAAACAGCTCTTCTTATATGAATTCGACGTAAGTTTTCAAAGTATCATTTTGTTATATTGTATTTTGGTTTTTAAAAGTGTTTTATAAACTTCAATATTAAAATAAACATTTAACTAATATATTGTATATCATTTTATTATTTATAGCAAAAACTATTTTTCAAATGTATTTATTTATATTCGTATTGGTGTATAACGACCATCTGGAAACCAAGTAAACAGTCTAATTGACAAGATTAACAGCTTGGGCTATAGCATTTTTAATTTTTAATTTAACTTAGTTACTTCCCTTCTTAATATAAATTAATAATATAAGTTTTAAAAAAATAAACAGTTTTATCAAATTAATTTTATACTTTTTTAGCGTTTATTCTCGATAGACAATAGTTATCTAAAATAAAATAATAAGTTAGTTAGGTATAACTAAATGATAAAAAAAAATATTTTTAAATCATAGTCCTTTAAAGTTTACGTCGAGCTTTTTCATTGGCAAATAAATTGATAATATCATCATTATTCAATTTATTGGTTAGATCTGACTCAATTGTTGCTAAATAACTTAAACAACTTAATTCTTTTCAAAACTGAAAAAGAACTTTTTGCTGAACAATTCGAAAGAGGACAGCAGATGAATATTTTTAAGGCAATTTCAACTTATATACTTATATACGTATATAAGTCTTCACATTCATTATCTATAATTGTTAAATACGTTTTAACTATTGTATCGGAAAAATCATCATCAGACATTGACAATAAAAATGAACACATTCGTTAGGAAATGCAATACCAAGATCTTATTTGTAAAACTTCTATAAGTTTTCAGCTTTTTGATAAATTTCAGTAATTGATAATTTAGTGATGTTAAAGAAAGAAAATTTATCACTAACCTGTTTATACGCTATTACTCATTTATTTTTTAAATATACTATTACTCATTTATATATATACTTTTACTCATTTATTTAATTCCAAATTTAGTCTATCTATGATAAGTAAAAATGTATTTATTAAAATTCTGTCTCCCATTAAGTTGTGATTTACATTGTCTTGTCTCATCAACCATTAATTTTTTTTCCTGCAGTGTTTCTTCTTGATAATCTTTAATCCTTGACTTTTCTTTTGTTTTTATTTCATATAAATCAAACATTTCTCTTAGACTAGACACATATTGAATTATTGATCATTATAAAATAATAACAGATTCCAAATCAATCTGAATTGATTGTAATTTTTTACTTGCTAAATAGAATCTTTACATTATGTCACCCCATATTTGAGCCATTAAAGTAGTTTCTAAGCTTTTTAATTTAGTTAGTAAACCTTTAGCTTCACACCTTGTACTAAGCTTTTTAGTTGTATCATTATTAATATCAGTTAAAGTCAATATTATTTCATTCCAATTTTTATTAAGACTTATACATGTTTCGTGCCTGGCTGACCATCTCGTATCAGAAAGATTTTTCAATGACACATTTTCTGGTTTTGTAAAATTATTTTTTAATTTTTCCCATCAATGAGTTGAGATACTAAAAAAATTTTATAGGCTTTGAAGTAGACAGAAAAAGTCAACTGCACTTTTACAGGAGTTAACTGCACATTCTACAACTAAATTCAGAGATTGTGTAGAGCATGGGATTAATTGAGCTAATGGACAGATGCTGCTGGGTTATCATAAGACTGTCCACGGCAATCACTTAAGTTAAGTTCATAAGATTCAAAGACAAGAAATAATGCATCAGCTAAATCTTTGGCTATATGTCCAGAGTTTGAATGAAAACATATTAAAACATATGAAAACATTCTTTTACTATTTGTTTTACAACTTGATCAGCCATTATTTTAATGAATTCTTCATAAATTTGAAATGATAAATAGGAAGTAAAATCTTTTCCTTTATTTCCATATTTTTGAATATGTTTGGCTAAAAATGGATTGAATTCAGAAAGAAGTTCCAGAAAATTTCCGTTTTGACCAAAATGATCGTTTCTTCCTCTAAATGACATTCTACGTGATGACAGATTTTTTACCACAGCTGTAACTCCCATTAATACATTCCTTCAATACACTGTTTCTGCTTCAATCTGTTCTTTTAGTTGTCTGTTTGTATTATTCAATTTTTTTTTCTATTTCTCATTAGTTGTACTCAGGATGTTTAGAATTTTCGGCAATGGTTATTTTTTCATTAGCTTTTCTCCAATTTGAAAACCCACCTTTGGAAAAGGAAGTAGTTCCTCCAAATAAACGGAGCACAGAAAATTGATCCTAAGCTCTCCGAGTAAACCAAATACGTCCGTTTTATTTTTTGTCCATTTATTAATGTAGTTTGAAGTAAAGTAGTTGAGAAATAACTTGAACGTGGAACTTTAATACCACCATGTAATCTTGTTGATAATCTTAATGATTTTTTAAAATCTGTATTACCAATATTTTGATTAAATCCGTGCATTGAAAAGTATTCCTTAGTCTCATCATTTATTACACACTTGGCATAATCATTTCTATTAAAAAGAAAATTGATAAACTATAATTAGGCCAGCACAAAACTATAATTTTATTTACAATACACATTTAAAATAATGCACTCATTTTAATAGTATGTAAATAATTACCCAGGGTTGATAAATGAAGTACAGATGGATTCATTTTCAGCTTCACACATTTATTTTTTATTTACATTTTGTGAAGGACAAGTTTCATTGGTTTGATCCAAAGTAGAATGACTTCTTTAATATTACCTTATTTAAAATTAAAACAACAATAATAAATAAAATAATTATAAAAATAAGTATAATAATATATTAATATATAATTAAGTATAATAATAAATATAACTATTTATATTAAATTGCATTGCTAATCGCATCATATAATGGTAAACTATTAAAGCATTTATAGTATTAAAATAAGATGATTCTATGAAATATTAGAAATAAGTAAATAACCAGTGTTAATCTGTCATCAAAATAATAAAATGTATAAATCTTGTTGTGCTCGATATATTTTGTTTAGACTTGATATCAAAGTATGTACTTAATTTTAGTGTATTCAAAATCGCATTAGCAGTTTTGTCAGCCTTAACTTTTCTTCTTTTGCGAAGTTCAGTCCCGCAAAGCTTTTTTCTACCGGCCATATTTTGTGAATAAACCAAATAATATAAAGCAACAAACTACTAAAAAGAATTAATAATAATAAGCAGTAAGCAATATTAATAGTTAAAATATCCAACAGGTATAAGTATAAAAATAATTATTAATTATAGTTTGCATCATAAATATTGTTATTCTTTAATAATTATTCATTAAATATAAATATACAAAATAAACAATAAACAATTGTAAATTGTAGAGTTTCTATCTTGAAACAACTTTGAGTTCTAATTTCCATATTTTAATGACTTAATGTTTATATACAACTAAATGTCTGTATACAACTAAATATTTATTTACAACTAAATGTTTATATACAACTATATGTTTACATTTAATTTTATGTTTATATACAACTATATGTTTATATACAACTATATGTTTATATACAACTATATGGTAACAAAATCTAAGTTATATGTTATAAACATACCCGACAAGAAAGGTATATGTGGCCCACATGTGGTCATAGTGCTTTTGTGTGGATTAAAAGTGCAAAAATATATTACAGTTGATGAATGACGTATTTGATGAAGATAAGTGTGGCCTACTTGTGGAACACATAATGCGGTTCACATAACTATTCCACTTAACGTGGCATAATCCTTAAATAAATACATGCTAAATTTGATGTGGCTATCATATGGGCCATACATATAAAACTCACGATCTTGCATCATTTTGAACTTTAAATTTTAACCAATTGTAATATTCTATAGCAATGCATTATAAATTCTAGAATATTCCATGATACCATGTGGCTTACCGTTTTGATAATTTTCAATTCATAACTGTTGTAAGTATGTTTTAGCAATAAAAAAAAAAATATTTTTTAAAAAAAAGTGTAAATATATAAAATAAAAAACAAAAACCTAGGTGTGTTAAGACTTTTACTTATTGTAATATACAATTTGTTATCATTATTAAACTACTTTTTAATGTGATTTTATATGTGATTTAGGTTATATAACGGCATATTGTTAAAAGAATATTATTTAAAACTATATTACTTATATACAGGGCCGTACCGACAGGGGTGTGTGTGGGTTGGACCCCCCACCCACCCCCAGATTTACTAAATTCTGTTGGTTTTTGTCGGAAAATTGGAAGATTTAGGACTCTGTCGGAACTGATATTTAGCTTCTAAAAAAAAAAAACCTTGTCTGTAAAGTTAGCTTTTTTCCTTTGCACCCCCTCCCCCCAAGTCTTCGTCGTTCGGTACGGCCCTGCTTATATGTATAAGTATACAATATATGTTATAACATTTTTAAAAAACTGTAAATGTTTATAATTTTGTTATAAAAATAAGAATGTTTGAGCGGTTTTGTAACCACTTTCTCAATCGCATATAAATTGTATAGTAATGGGTAACTAAAAACAAGTATAGGTAAATAAACAAAAAAACTTTTTAATTGAGGCGTAATTTATTTTCTACATTAATTTAAATTTTTTGAACTAAAAAGATAGGTTCTAAGAAAAAATCCCCCCGGAAAAAATCCCCTCAAGAAAATGTGCTTTTGGTTTCAAATTGAAATATATATATATATATATATATATATATATATATATATATATATATATATATATATATATATATATATATATATATATATATATATATATATATATATATATATGTATATATATATATATCAGAGCTTTTTGTTTGTTAAGTATTTATCTAAAGCCAAATAAGTTGCAACATTAACAAGATAGAATCGGGAATTGTAACTTTCATATTTTGCATATTAAAGTTTTATGGTTTAATTAAGGTACATTAAGTTAGTTTTTTGATGATGAACTACCGGAGTACATTCTTACAAGTTAAATAAAATTACTTTAAAATCCCGTTCTTAAATAAATTGTATGATCTTTAAAA